GGGAAATTCTAGAAATGACAAAGATAAAAAAGACAGCCTTTGAACTTAAAAATAAAAGTAAAAGAAAACCTTAAAATAAAGTACATTTTGGAAAAGAGTATGACAAAACACAAATATATGTGTCTTAAAAATATAAATGAGCTCAACTGAACTCTTTAAAATTAAAGGATTAATGGGGGAGAAGGGAGGGAGGAAGTGGGGGAGAGAGAGAGACAGGCAGACAGACAGACAGACAGAATATGACATCCAGGTAACAGAAAAAGTTAAATAGGTTGGAGCATTAATCAGAACAGGAAATAAGTTAAGTGGGATCTTGTGGCATCCTTAGCATTGTTGAATGTGTTCGGACAATTTCTCCTAAGGCTATGGAGAAGTCATTGGAGGGTTTTAAGCAAAGAAGTGATTTGATGATATTTTCATTTCAAAAAAATAAGGGGCTGCAGCGTGAAGAGTATCTTAGAGTAGTATAGGGGAGGAATCACATACTTACAAAACACTGCACTAGCTCAAGCAAGAAAGGAAGGCATTTTGGACTAGGGCGGAAACACTAGAGATAGAAATAAATGGAAGGTAAGAGGTATTAAGGAAAAAAACAGTAAGATTTGATGATGAAGGAGTTTGGTGATTGTGAGCAAAGAGTCAAGAGTCATGCTCAGGTTTCTAGAAGTGCACGGGTATTGTCGTTTTCAGAGGTAGGGAGCATTACAGGAGGAGGAGGAGGCAAAGAATGCAGTGATGAGTTCAGATTTAGAAAACGGAGCTCTTGAAAGAGGTCTGGGCTAGGCATAGATTCAGACACAGTGCCTGAGGAGTTCGTCGGTTAGCTTCTGCTGTATAACGAACAACCTCCCAAAACTTAGGAGCTTCAAAACAATGTTTATTATTTTTTCAATATTCTGTGGGTCAGTTGGGTAGTTTTCTGGGCCGGGCACTCTTGGCTAATGTGCGCAGTCAGCTGGCAACTTGGCTGAGTCTGGATGATCTAGGATGGCCTGGCTCACCTATCTCATAGTCACGCCCCAGCAGGCTAGGCTGGGTTTCCTCCCATATTGGTCTTGGGGTTCCAAAGGACAATACAAGAGGACAAACTCCAGTGCATAAGAACTTCTCAAGCCTCTCTCTGTGTCACATTTGCTATCATCTCAATGTCCAAAGCAAGTCATGTGGCCAAGCCCAGAGTCAATATGGAAAGGAACAATACGAGAACATGGGTACGGTGGTAACTGAAACTACCCACCGCCATCACTCATCCTTCTCCCCTTTTCCTGTCCCCCACTAGGATGACGCTGTACGTGGGGAAGGATGAAGCTGGCTTCTATGTTTCCAAAGCACTGGTTCACACAGGGGTGGCCCTAGTGGTGAGAAGGGGTCTCTGAGGGGCTGGAAAGGGGATGGAGCAGGGGAGGAGTCTCCCTCACTCATGATTCTCCTCCTTCTGCCATAGCCTCGTGGACTGACCCTGGCCTCCATGGATGGCCCCACCACAGATGAGGTGACACTCCAAGTCTCAGGAGAGCGTGAGGGCTCACCTAGCACAGCTGTCAGATACCCCTCAGGCAGTGTGGCCCTCCCTAGCCAGTGGCTGCTCATTGGTGAGACCCTATAACTCAAATTTGGAATAGATGAAAATGAAGGACCTGTGGTCCTGGCTTCTGAGCCATAAAGCTGAAGTCACCTTCAGCTCACTGACTTGTTCTCTGTCCCTTAGGACACCATGAGCCACCCCCAGTCCTACACACCACCATGCTGAGAGTCCATCCTACCCCAGGGAGTGGGACTCCTGAGACCAGACCTTCAGCGAGTATGCAGCCCCCAGCTCTCTTTACGGAGGTCAGTGCTAGAAGGGCAGAGGGCTTGGGGGCAGACTTGGAAGATGGGTGGGCAGCCGCTGGACCTTTTCTTCAGGCTTCTATGAATAACACTTGGAGGTGGGTCAATTGACATCACACAGTATCTCTTTTTTTGTTGTTACTTTTGCCAGAAACATGTTAGACATATCAACAAGATACTGGCTATCTAAATTGTGAAACATGGGTCAGTTTCCTTTACTCTTCTTCAATGTAAAAGTGACAAAATGTTTATCAAATGAGGAAAAGAAAACAAAGAACTATAAAAGCATGTCATCCTGGGAGAGGTCTGGACAAGAACCACTTGTTACAAAGGAAGAGCCATGCCCTGGAGCAATAATCCTTAAATCTGATTGATCATTAGAAATACGTGGCTGCCAACTCTAGCCTTACTGAATTCAGAATCTCTGGAGGTGGATATCTGCACTTTTTTGCTGATGCCCCAAGAGCACCTGTAATTTTTAGTGACACCCCAGGAGATGCTGGCCATCAACTAGGTTTAGAAGACCAATCTACGACGTTTCAGCACCACGGAGAGCGCCCCGCCCCTCCATAAGACCCCCCACAGGCTGCCTCCCTCTTCAGCACCACGGAAAGCGCCACCGTTCACACCATAGACCACATACTCGCTCCTTCGGCACCATGGAGAGCACCGGGGGGGGGGCCCCCGCCACACATGCCCCTGGTCAGTGCCCCTTCAGCACCACGGAAAGCGCCACACCATACAGAGCACACCCGTTCGTTCAGCACTGTGGAGAGCGCCACATCCTCCACCACAGACCCCCACTTACTATCCCCTTCAGAACCACGGAAAGAGCCATGCTCCACATCATAAAGACCACACACTCGCTCCGTCGGCACCACGGAGAGCGCCATGTCCCACCTACAGACCGCCCACTCGCTGCATCTTGGGCTAAGCCCAGCCCTGTACTGGGTGATAAAGAACAGCTAGGGGATCCGCAGTGGGAAAGGTTGCTAAGAGTGAAAGCCCTTTTGTCCCCAGCTCCTGAGCCAGGACCAACCTTGGGCCCTGGAGCCACATCCTGAAGAGAAAGCCCCAGACTTGTATCCAGGGCTGGGACCCCAAGACCTGTTGGCAGCCAGCCTCACAGCCGTCTTCCTGGGAGGGTGGATTCTCTTTTTGATGAGACAGGTAAGCCCATTACCCCAACCTCAGGTCCATTTTAGGGTGTCCTAGAGAAAACTCGGTTCCCCCTCTCCAAGACCACCCAGCAATTCTCTCTTTCGCCCAGCTCCAATTCTGCCCTTTCCCTCCTAGCGGCTCCCCAAGCCCTTGCTACTATGCTCTGTGTTCGTGGTCTAGTGCCAGACCCCTCAGGCACGGCTGCTAGACCCACCATGAGGCAGGGCCTGGCAAAGGCTGAGCTCTTAGGCCCTCGTGTTTCAGCAGCAGCAGCAGCAGCTGGCAGAGAAGCAGCAGCAGGCCCCCCTGAAACCTGCACACCCTCCTCTCAACTCACAGAATGTTCCGTCCCAGCCCTCGGGGGTCACCCCGCAGGACAAGAAGAGGCTGCAAAGCCCCTCGGAACCAACCGAAGACCCCGAAGGTGAGCTTAAGGTGAACAGGAAAGGGCGGAGTCAGGGACAGAGGAAAGAAGGGGGATGGTTTAGCTTCAGTCGGTTTGTTAGAAGACAAACCTTGGGATAGCGAAGCCTAAACGATAAGAGTATTTTGAATAGTGCCCGCTATGTAGTTGAGCATTCTAGAAATTTCTGCCACCCTTTTCTATTGTCATTATGTTCAAGGACTCTGGATGCAGAAAGAACTGGGTATAGATGTAATTCCACAGTTCGTTAACTTTGATGAATTGCTCAGCTCCTCTGAGCCTTAGCATTCTCATTTGTCACATGGGAATAATAATGCCCACCTGGTTATATAGCCTCGTCGGGAGAGGTCACCACCATCATTATTATTAAATCATATCGAGGTGATGATATTAACACATGAACTAAAATAACGTATTTGGTAACAATAATAGTAAATTACCTAGGTACCATTTGGTACCTTTCCCGCTCTTTAGGGCTTTTTATTTTTAAAAAATTTCTCTCTTCTCAATTCATTCCCATAAACAAGCCCTTCAAGCCTCCTTTGGTATCTGTGGGATACCCCGGGAGATTCCACGTGCCTTCACTAGTCAGTCCAGGATGCTTCTGCTTCTTTGGCTCTGGGCTGAGCCGGCCTTTGGTCCTTTGCGTGAACTGCTGCTGGCACCTCCTGGCCACTGTTCAAACCACAGCCTCGTGCCCTGGAGCCATTCTGCTGTCACCTTAACTCAAGCTGAAGCCCGCCCCACACGTGACTCGATGCTCCAATGCTGCCACCCGTGTTCGCCTTCGTGTTTGCCTTGCTCTGCTGAGGGAGCAGCTCCCCTCCTCAGCGGTCAGCTGTGAGAAGGCCCCCACTGCAGGGTTGCCTGAGCCCTGAGTGTTGCAGTTCCTGCCACGTTACTGGCTCTGGGGGATACCACTGTACCCCGAAACACTCATCTCCTTGGACCTCCTGACTTGAGCCAAGTCTGGCTTATCTTACCCCAGACCCCCAGACTCCATCTTTTCCCAGGTGGTCCTCGTTAAATGGCCCTGCAGTTGGCCCTCACCACCACTGTCCCTTAGACCTGTCCCTGAGGTGATACGATTCCTTCCCCAGACATCTCACTTCCTTATAAGTCAGTAGATAGCAATAATCCTTGGAGGAGAAAAGAGGATGTTGAACCCCAGCCCTGGCTCGGCCAGGGCACCTCGTCATATAAAACACCTAAATTTCTTTACCCACCATAAGGAATCAAAGTGATATCAATGCTTCGGAACAAGAGCCCAAGAAAATAAAGCACCCAGTTGGAGCATGGGACCTCTCTTAAAACCCAGTGGCGACAGTCTCTATATAACACTGGATTGCCCCTGTATTTAAAGACACACTTGGCCATCTTCATGACCTCTAGGCAAAGCCTAAGAGGGTTCATTCAGGCAGTTATCGGGCAGTGTGATAAATGCTGTCTCGTGGGGGACTGTGCGAACAGAAGTGTCCTGGAATAGCTGGGTAAGCTGTGACCCCAAGGATGAGAAGGAATTACCCAAGTGACCAGAGGAGAAGCAGAACAGGAACATCCAGGCGGCACCAACAGCACAGGCAAAGGTTCTGAGAAGAAAGAGAGCAGGGTGTACATTCTGGAAGCCGACGGGAAGGTTGCAAACTCATGCCCATGGGCAAAGTAAATGAGTGAAGCAGGCATGTGGGAGAGTAGGGAGTGGTGGGGACTGTGGCAAAATTGCAAACTCATGCCCATGGGCAAAGTGAAGGAGGCGTGTGGGAGAGTAGGGAGTGGTGGGGACTGTGGCAAATTGGAGAACAGGTGCCTTGTCTACACTGCTTTACAGATGGGAAAACGCAGGGCACGGCAGTTAAAAAAACTTGCCCAAGTATGCACACAGAGTAAGTGGCAGAACCAGGCTTTGGACGCGGGCAGCCTGGCGCCAGGTCGGGCAGGGCAGTGTGGGAGTCTGGAGGAAGCGGGAGGCGGTGGGCAGGCCTGAACTGGCTGGCCGTGGCCCCTGACACCCACCATTTCTCCACCTAGCCGAGCAGCTCACTGTGGTCGGCAAGATTTCCTTCAACCCCAGGGACGTGCTGGGCCGCGGGGCAGGGGGCACCTTCGTTTTCCGGTGAGTGGTGGCCAGGAGCTGGGCTGGACACGTGGCTCTCACAGCCCTTTGGGCCACTGTCCTTCGGAGAGCCACTCTTTCAATGAATCCCTGAGGTGGGAGCAGGCGCAGCTTCTTCCTCTCTGCCCTCTCTGAACCTCATCCCCTACCTCCCAGAGGACAGTTTGAGGGGCGGGCAGTGGCTGTCAAGCGGCTCCTCCGTGAATGCTTCAGCCTGGTTCGGCGGGAGGTCGAGCTGCTGCAAGAGTCGGACCGGCACCCCAACGTGCTCCGCTACTTCTGTACCGAGCGGGGACCCCAGTTCCACTACATCGCCCTGGAGCTCTGCCGGGCCTCCTTGCAGGAGGTGAGCTGGAGCCAGGAGTTGGGGGGCGGAGGGTGCTGGCCTGGAGGTGCCAGCTGCAGAGTGACACTTGACCCCTCGCTGCTCTTCAGTACGTGGAAAACCCAGAGCTGGACCGCTGGGGCCTGGAGCCCGTGACGGCGCTGCAGCAGCTCACATCCGGCCTGGCGCACCTGCATTCCCTGCACATAGGTACCCCCCGCCTCCTACTCTCCCCGCCCCGGCCTGCCCTGCCCACCTCACTCTCAGCTGCCCTCCGCCCTCACAGTGCACCGGGACCTGAAGCCCGCCAACATCCTCATCTCGGGGCCCGACAGCCAGGGCCAAGGCAGGGTGGTCCTCTCCGACTTCGGCCTCTGCAAGAAGCTGCCAGCCGGTCACTGCAGCTTCAGCCTGCACTCGGGCGTCCCCGGCACGGAGGGCTGGATGGCACCCGAGCTCCTGCAGCTGCAGCCCCCAGAGAGCCCTGTGAGTCCTCCCGCTGCCCTGGCCCAAGGCCTCTGCTGCCAGGCTCCAGGTCACCTGCTGTGCGAGCCTGAGTCACTCCTCCTTGCCTGTCCCTTTCTCTGTAAAGTGGGATGATTGATCCCTTACTTAGAGCAGTGGCTTCACCCTGGCACTATTTCACCACCCAAGCGACACTGGCCTATGTCTGGAGACACTTTCTGGTTGTCACGCTTCGCAGGGTTGGGTTGCTACTAGCTTCTGATGGGCAGAGGCCAGGGTTGCCGCCACACATCCTGCCACACACAGGACAGGCCCCTACAACAAAGAATCACCAGGCTCAAACCGTCTGCAGCGCTGACAGTGAGAAACCCTAAGCTCAAAGTGTTTTCAGCCTTCACTGTGCTGCAGTCACCGGGGACTTACAGAGAGTCACTGCCCAGGCCCACGGCCAGCGATTCTAACCCAATGAGCTGGGCCAGGGCCTGCGGGGGACTTCGATGTGTAGCCAGGGTGGAGGGTTTGGGGCACATCAGATGAGCTCATACAGTTGAAGCACAGAGTGGAATCTGACCCCCCAGACACCTGAGTTTGGAGCCCCAGGACTATAGATTTTTTATTTTGTCAGTGTGTGGCTCGAAGCTGGTCATGGGCATAGATGAGAGTAATACAAAAGGACAGTCACTAGACAAAACCACGTGTACCTTAAAAGTCTAGAGAAAGCTAGAAGTGGCACCCTGGAGGCCCGAGGACCAAAGGCACCGTTCAAAGCCTCCTGGCAGGTTTTGTTTTTTCAATTAGTGGCCAATATTTTAACTTTTGGGAAGTTGCACAGGAAAATCTGGATTTCTGGGTTCTTGGGAAATGGAACTCTGCCACCCTGAGAGAGAGTGGCCTGGAGTCAACCAGCAGAGCCAAGTGCCAGGTGCCGCCCGTGCACGGGCCAGTGCCAGAGCGTGTGGTCCTCACCACCACCTCACTGCCACCTGCCTGGCTATCTTCGCTGGGGGATGTGACGCTGGGAGCCCTGAACTAGCTCAGCAGGACCAAAGATTCTGGATGAAAACCATGGGCCCCTTTCAACGGCGCAGAGGGGAGGCCATGTAGCTCGGGCCAGGGGGAGGCCTCTCAGGAAGCAGCCTTGGGCTCCGCTCCGAACCAAACCCCCACGGGTGAACTTAGCCCGGCAGACCTCCTGGAGGCAGCGACCTCCTCCTCACGCTCTTCTCCCTGGCCCCAGACGAGCGCAGTGGACGTCTTCTCCGCAGGCTGCGTGTTCTACTACGTGCTCTCCGGAGGCGGCCACCCCTTCGGAGAGAGTCTGTATCGCCAGGCCAACATCCTTGCAGGGGCTCCCCGTCTGGCCCACCTGGAGGAAGAGGCCCATGGTGAGGGGACCTGGCCCGGCAGACATGGGGGAAGCCAGGCACGAGGCCGGGCGGGCCTGAAGCCACCCCCTTTCCCTCCAGACCAGGTGGTGGCCCGGAGCCTGGTTGAGGCCATGCTGAGCCCGCTGCCACAGGCGCGCCCCTCTGCCCCCCAGATGCTGGCCCACCCCTTCTTCTGGAGCAGAGCCAAGCAGCTCCAGTTCTTCCAGGTCAGGGGGGACCATGGGACTGGCCCCAGAACGTGCCAAATTTGGGTCCTGTGCAACTTCCCCAGGGAGAGGGGAAGCTGGGTGGAGACTTGCCTGTGCCAGGCGGCCCGGCTCCTTATCTGAGATCAGATGGAGCATGAAGCCCTCACTGGGGCTGCCTCGGCACTGTCCCAGCCCAGCTGCCTGTCCCTCTTGGCCCCCGTGGCTTACGCCATGCCTGTGAGCCCACTCAAACTTGTGCAACCTTGAGTAGCGGCTTTGTGCTGGGGGCTCGGTTTGCTCATCTGTAAGGGGGTGACAGCACCTCCTTCATAGGCCAGGGAGGACTGGGCGGAATGACGCAGGGTGGGTTCCTGGCTTTGTGGCCTCTGAAGCTGGTCGTAGGCTTAGGAGTGCTCTGGGGTCCTAGGATGTCAGCGACTGGCTGGAGAAGGAGCCCGAGCAGGCGCCCCTGGTGGTGGCACTGGAGGCGGGGGGCTCTGCGGTGGTCCGTGGTGACTGGCACAAGCACATCTCAGCGCCACTGCAGACAGGTACCAGCCAGGCGCGGGTGGGCCTGGGGGCCGAGGGGACCCAGAGGGGCAGCCCTGCCCACGCCTTCCATGCCTGCAGACCTGAGGAGGTTCCGGACCTATCAGGGGACATCTGTGCGAGACCTACTGCGTGCCGTGAGGAACAAGGTGTGTTCCAGGGCCGGGGTCGTGGGGGGCCCTTAGGGGCCTGGTCGCCACTGAGCCCAGCCCTCTGCCCTAACCCCTGCAGAGGCACCACTACAGGGAGCTCCCGGCTGAGCTGCGGCAGGCGCTGGGCCACGTCCCCGACGGCTTCATCCAGTACTTCACCGCCCGCTTCCCGAGGCTGCTGCTCCACACGCACCAGGCCATGAGCAGCTGTGCCTCCGAGAGCCTCTTCCGGCCCTACTACCCGCCAGCCGCGGGGGCCGGGGGGCCGAGCCTGGGGGCTGCTGGGAGCTGAGGCCGGCCTCAGCATTGGAAAGGACCCAGAGGCCTGGCAGCCCGGGGACGGATGCTGGGGCGGAGGTGTGCCCAGGGCCCAGGCGCCGGGCAGCCCTCAGGGAACACGAGAGGACAAAGATCCACGTGTGTTTAATGTGTATAAAGGCAAGGAGGGGACAGTCCCGAATCCAATCGCAATATTCTGTACAATTCATGCGGTGGGGCCAGGGAAGGGGAGGGGACCACAGAACCCACACCTGAGCATGTACAACCATAACTTACACAGCAGCCCCCACCTGTGAGGGTGACAGAGCTGTCCCCAGCCCCCAGGGCTGGGGACACACTATAAAGACCGACACTGTGGGCGCGAACCAGAACGGGCCATGGTCCGGGGGGTGGGTGGGCAGGGGCAGTCCAGAGGGGCCTACGAGGAGGCCTTGAGGCGGTTGGTGGCTGAGCGCGAGCCCAGCAGCTTGTCCACCATGGTGCGAGCGTAGCGGAGCCGGCTGGCCAGCTCCCTGGAACACCCGTGCTCCTCCAGGAGGCTCAGGCGGTACGTGCGGAAGTCCCGCTTCTCATTGATGTAGGTCACAGCGGCCATCAGAGGGCACAGGATGAGCTTGGTGTGGTCCTGTGCGGGCAGGTGGAGGGCAGTTAGCGGAAGGAAGGCTGGGCGGCTTGCGCACATGGGGCGTGCAGGCAGGGACGACGTCCGCTGGAAGGCGGACTCCCCCACGCCGCCCGCTCCCCGCAGACCCCACCTGGAAGAAGTTGACCTGCACGCAGCCGTTGCTGAGGTGCAGGACAATGGCGCTGCGGGTGCGGAACCAGGTGCGCAGGTAAGGTAACCGGGCCAGCTCGTCGCCCTCCCGTGGCGTGATGTTGGCCCCCGCCTTCAGCAAGTGCTCGCTCATGTAGTTCCGGAAATACTTGAGGAGGGTGATCTGGTTGCGGGGGGGAGGGGCTCAGTCAGAGGCCGGCCAGCACCCCACTGACTGCGGCGTGGCCCAGCCCGGTGCAGCCGGCACTCACCTTCTTCATCAGGGAGTTGGGGTGTGAGTTCACGGTGAGGTAGGACTCCGTGCCGTCGCGCTCTATGTACTGCAGGCTGGCACCGTCGTTGTAGAGGATGAGGCGCGTTGAGTCATTGAAAAGCACCCCCACGCTGTTGTCACACAGCTGGTACCCTGGCGGCAGTGGAGAGAGCTCAGAAAGCGGGCGGGGGGCGGGGGGCCCTGGGAGGCCTGGGTTGGAGACAGCAGAGGAGGAGCTGGCAGCCAAGAAAGGTGCGAGCCTGAAGCAAGTCAGGGGCTCACGCGGCCACGCCTGGGCCACCCGCCCCCCTGGAAGAGACCTACCGAGGCCGTACTTGTCCGAATAGTCCACCCACTTGCTGACCCAGAAGATGGGGATGCAGGCGGGGTCCTCTGCCTCCTCTGGAACGAAAACAGACGGACGACTGGTCAGCGCCAGCCTCTCCCCTTGGGCGGCCCACACCACGACACCCCACCTGGGCTCCGCCAAGCGGCCTGTGCCGCCACCGGGCTCAGATGAGCGGCAGTGCCAAGTGCCACTCCTTCGCTCCGCTGACTCAGTTAATCAGAGGCTGAGCGTGTGCCAGACACTGTCACGGCTACAGAGAGCAATGACAGAGACCCAGCCTCCACGGGCGTGCATTCTGGTCATAAGGACAGAGCTCATAAATAAACGTGGACAGAGTATATAAGGTGCTTCCATCACGGCGAGTCAGTAGCTGACAGATCATCTAGTTTTCCAGTTTTGAGCAATTAAAACCTTGTGAGAAGATAAACAATTCCAGATGTTATGCTCGGTGTCTGCAGTAACCTCTTCTTTTAAAGACAGGAAACCAGCACGAAAACTTAGACTGCGTCAGGTGAGCAGTGTTATGGAGAAACATTCGGCAGGTATAGGGAATGACGAGAGTGAAGAGTGGGGGCCAGGGGACTGCGCGTGGAGGGGACACGGGGACAGACACTCGAGGGCAGCGAGAGCATGAGCCAAGCAGGCGTCTGGAGGAGGGGCGTCTGGGAGAAGGGGACAGTGTGAGCGAAGCCCTGAGGCTGAGTGCGTCTGGGTCTGTCACTCCAGCCGTCTCGGTGGCTAACCAGAAACTCATCGGACACAAGAGAGGGCGTGTGCAAGTGTCCGAAGGCGGCAAGCTGAGCAGGGCACTCGGGGAGACAAGAGACGGGTCAAGAGAGGAGAAAGGCCGGACCCCGGAGCGCCTGGGCGTCAGGCTAACTCAGTGGGGTTTTCACCTATGAAAAGTAGGGGAACTAGGCCTCTGGATACAGGGGCCGGGACAGGCCAGCCCGCCCTGCTGGGGGACTTCCCTGTCCTCTCCAGACACACGGTACCCCCCGCCCCCAGCCCGTGGCAGCTCCCACCTTGCCTCACCAGCCCCCGCTCTGAGGGCTTGGAGGCGTTGACACTGTGGAGTTGCTGCAGCATGTCACCAAGGTGGCAGTCAGCCGCCTCACTGGTCTCCCGAACCACTGGCTCCTCTTTCTCTCGGGGCCGCTCAGGCATGGGGTTCTCGGTGCCTGGGAAGAAGGTGGATGTGGTCATTAGCTGGGCACAAAAGCAGCAAGTTGGGAGGGGCAAGGGACCCCTCACCATGGCTGGTACTCGCCCTAGGAAAAAAACTCTTTGAGCAGCCACTGCTCTGGGTAAACTGAGTCAGTGTCCGGTTATCAGCGCGCATGCTCCAAGGACAGGCACATGGCACCCACTGGCACCTCCAGGACCAGGCCAAGCCCTTCAGGACACGCAGTGTCAGAGACTCAGGCCTCTGACCCTGCAGAACTCCACCGGTCACTCAGGGAGACACCAGCAGCTAGGAGCTACCCACTTTAAGCCAAGAATTAAAAATGTCTTCAGTAGCCAGAAAAATGGGAAGTTCAGTAAATCAGACCAGCAGGTCGAGTTAAGCAGGCATTTAACAAAAACGTAAGAGTTTCCCGCCCTAAAATTTGCTTTATCTGCTTATGTGACCAGAGAGAGCCTGCAGAGACCCACACTGAAACTTCAGCATGGGTTATGGCTGATGCCAGAAGCATGGATTTTCATTTTCTTTATGCTTAAATGTTTATTCTTTCCCCACCAACATGTGCTCATTCTCCTTGTGTAATATGAAATTCTTCTTAAACATATGTAAAGATCGGAGTTTTCAATTTTAAAAAACTAGGCTATGATGAGAACTTGAGTATGAGTAATATTTGAGATTTGCTCTTAAAGCTCTAGCCAGAAAAGGGGGAGGAGGTGGGGTAGATAAAAATGTGGGCAAAGGTTGCTGACTATTGAAAAATGCTGATTTCTTAGGGGATCATCATAGAGTTCTCATGACTCTCGAGTAAATCTGAAAATTTCCAGCATAAGAAGCTTTTTAAAAATGTTTCCTATCCAAAAATTAAAACCATAAGAAAACAAAGCAGTCCTTAAAAGCCAATATGGCATGATAGCCCAAAGAATAAACAATCAAATACGTAAGCCCGTGGGAGAGAAGCGACAGCTCTCTCTTACAGAAGACTCCGGTTAATAAACGCGGGAGGAGCGAGGGATACACCACCATCAGCCATGGCAGCAAGTGCTGCGGGCGACATCCGCCACGGGTGCTCGAATCGCTGGGCAGAGGTCCGGGGAGACACAGGACCATCTCAGAGTCGCTCCCAGCAAGGCATGTATAATTACAAAGGAGAAAATAGTCCCTTCGCAGCAGCAACACCCACCAGACACCACCATAAGCAGGTGATCAAGACCAGTATCACCGCAAAAAGAAATTTCGAAAATTAACACCAAAAGAAATAAGATAACCCTTAAAATAACAGTACTAAATTATGACTGAAACAAATGAACTTATGTAGTAAATTGGTGTATATTAAATTGGTGCTATATCCACACAGAGAAAAAAATATTTCAAGTGATCTTTTTTTTTTTAAACTATATATCTTTGGTGAAATATATTCCAATGACAAATAGAACTGTAAGAAAATAAGACATTTAAAACTAGTTTATACATGCTGAAAAACATGAATATTAATGTAAGGAAATAAGGTTTTCAGTTTAAAAGAAATACAAATGTAAAATCAGAGAAGTAAAAGTCCTATCGTTATATTTGAATCAGATACTCAAATTACCAAAAGGAGCAATGTCACAGCGGAAGATCGTGAAGGACAAGATGTGTCAGCGGTAAACTCCCTGCGCCTGACATCCGTGCACGGTGCTGTGCTTATGCGGAATAATCTTTGTTTTTCGGAAATATATGCAGAGGTATTAAATTTTAAAGGACAGGATGTATACAATTTACTCTTAAATAGTTTGGGAGGGAGGAAGAAAGGGAAGAAGGGAGGAGGGATGGGAGGAGGGGATGGAGGGAGAAAGGAAGAGAGGGAGGAAGGGAGGGAGGGATGAATGAATGAATTGAAGCAAATGTGGAAAAAAAATGTTAATTGTGGATCTAGGTAAAGTGGATATAGCAGATTTGTATCTATTCTCATACCTTTTCACAAGTTTAAAATAACAACAAAATAAGATGTTCAAAATCATGAATTGGAAACATCACCATAAACTCAATGTCCCCCCACCCCCAAACTATGTATTTCCTAATTCTGTCCTCTTATGAGACTTAGAAACGATGACAACCTAATCGATGGCACGTGGTCTTGTAAGACAACGTCCATCCTTTTAAAGAGACGCACACTGAGGTTCACGGGGGTCAAATGGCAAGACGTCTGGGGTGAACTTAGAAGGAACAGAAGAGGAGAGACGACCAAATGGGACAGTCTTGACAATGGCCGAGTCCAGCAGGTGCATGGGAGCCTGCTGCCCTATGTTCTGTGTATTTGAAAAATTTCACATTTTTTCAATGGACCATAAAGGCGTGTTAAGAATTTTTTTAACTGATAAGAATTTTCCAGGTGTGGCGTATGGTCCACTCTCTTTTGGGGCCTGACGGGTCTGTTTGGCCATGGTAAGGTCTGTCTTTCCCAAGAGGCCAAGGGGAAGGGCATTTGCCACGGGAGGACCGAGGCCTGTCTCACTGCACAGCCGGCTCTGGGGGCCACACACCCACAGCTGAGGCCGAGGCCCTCCCTGGGGGCCTGCTGTTGCCCAGGCCCCGTTTTACCTTTATTGAGGACGGAGAGAGGCTTCCGGCTGCTGGGGTCCAGACTGCTGGGAGCGAGGGAAAACCTGGGTGGGACGGTGAGGCAGGTGATGGGCAGGCGGGCGGGGATGTAGCCGGAAGTGAAGAACTCCTCGTTCAGCAGCTCGTGAATGGTGGGGCGGGCAGCGGGGTCCGTCTGGAGCATCTTCTGGATAAGGGAGGCGGCCACGGGGTTGACGTACTGGGGCAGAGGGCGAGAGAGCCATAAGCGGGACGGAATGGGGACCAAGTGCAGACCGCCACAAAGGAACTGCGGGTCCCTGTTCCACACGCAGTCCCCGGTCTCAACTGTGCCCCCGTCAGCGACTGAGAACAGCACCAAACTCCCCATTATCGGCTTTACGCAGCTGTGAGGAGGGCTGTGTTTCCTCCCTCCCGAAACTCCAGATGGATGTGAGGGCATTTTGCCCCTGAACTTGCTCTTGCATAATTCAAGCTGCTCACCACCAGAGTGGCACGTGAGACACAGGCTTTGAGGCCCCAGAGACAAGGAACCTGGCTTTCTAGGGCCTCTGTATCTTCATCTGTAAAATGGGGACACAGCACCACACCTAGAGCCCTCGTGAGGAGTTTCCACGGGACACAGCCCAGCACAGCCACACGCCTCGTAAGAGCCTAGCCTCAACTCTGCACTCACTACACAATGGGAAGGAACTCCAGGCATGTCATGTGTGTTAACTCACACAGAAACGCCTCAGGGGTGGAGACCTGACAGCTCCTGCAGACAAGGAAACTGAGGCACGGTGCGGCCGAGCGCCCAAGCGCGCGCCTGACAGGTACTACAGCCCGCGCCCATGCGACACCGTGCAGGCGGCTCCAGCACCCATGAACCACCCCACGCCACGTTCCTCTGACAGTTAGCCAGGCTTCCGTAGGAACAGGTCCTTCCTCTCGATGCATTCAGGCTGTGGGTTGTGAAAACGCACACTGCCATGCGTTCACAGCGCCTATGACTCAGTGCTTACCGCGCGCAAGGCACCCGCGAGGAGCCACAGACAGGGCTCATGTTACAGATGGGGCTACAGTTCAGAAGGGCTGGGACACCTGTCCCCGGAATCCAGACAGTCCACTTCTGGAGCTTAAGCAGCATAGAGGTAGTTCTGCCTCCTACACCCTTCTTTGTGCGTGTGTGTGTGTGTGTTTTCTACACATCTTTTGGGTTATCTACCCAACCTTTGAGAATCTACAAACTCTCCCCACCCTGGAAGAACGGCCTTTGTGCACACGTGTCCAGTTTTGCATGCCAGTTCAGACATAAACACTGTAAAGCTGTGCGGCCACCCAAGGGGTGCGGCTGACCTGTCTCTGTCCCCAGGGTCTAACTGGGCTCAGGAAACAGCTTTCGGAGGGAAAAAAAAAGAAAATAAAATTCAACTACAAGTGCTTTAGTCACCTTAGGGATACTGTACTCATTCTTCTTGATCCGGAGGTAGGTCTCTTTTAGGCAAGACGTCTCAAAAGGTGGTTTGCCCACTAACAAGGTATACCTGTAAGCACAAGGTGGGACTGGGCTCAGATGCAGGAGGAATCAGCTAAGGGCCAGAACGGAGGCCAGGCATCCTCTGGACCCTCACTCTGGCGCTGAGGACAGTCTCCAAGCCTACTGAGCAGCCCCCAGAACCAGGACCCTGGTGAGAGGGCCCCCAGGGGAACACAGGCTCTGAGACCAGAGTTCTCATGGGCCGGCACCCCTCTCGGGCCCAGAGGCCGCCAGCCAGCACAAGGTAGGTCAGAGCGGGTGGGCAGCGTGCTGTCGCGATGGCAGCCCACGTGTGACGGTTCTGCACCTACAGCCTGAAGCTGCCACATGAAAAGTCCACTGGAGTAAGTGTGAAAGCCACTGCCACAACTCACCCTAACTCTCCATACCCAGGCCAACCACCACAAAGGCGACAGCTGAGAAGGGCCTCTGCCTACCACCCACCTCTGATGGCCTTGACCCAGACAGGCCACAGGCACCTCCCCCCGCCAGCTCCAATTCCAATTCCTCCCACCCGATGCTACTTTCTACATCAGCGGTTCTGAAAGCTTATTGTACACAAGAATCAGCCAGCAGTCGGGTTGAAACCCAGGTTCTGATCCAACAGCCTGGGTCTTAGGACCTCATGTCTAACAGGTTCCTAGGTGACAATGCTGCTGGCCTACGGGCCACATCTTGAGTAATGAGGGGCCAGAGCAAGTTTGGGGAGACCTCCTCTCCCTCTTTCCAGACTGGCCCAGGCTGCAGGAAGCCCACAGGACATGCCAGTGACAGGAAAAATATGGAAATTAGGCTTTGTTTGGGGCACTCTGCTCTCCAGAGTGGCCTTTCCACAGGCAGGTGGGTTGGCAGGTGACACATCCACGAGGGCACCTGCTGAGGCCGGGCGGGGCCTGAGACAGCCCCAACTTACATGATGCACCCGATGGACCACACGTCCACCTCGAAGCTGTGCCCCTTCTTGCTCAGCACCTCAGGGGCTATGTAATTCGGGGTCCCGCACAGGGTCTTCTTCCGCTCCCCGTCATATTCGACTTTGGTCGCCAGTCCGAAATCCCCTAGGACCAAAGGGAAGAGGTGCTCAGAGGCTAGCCCGTCATGTCGGTGCGGACAGCTGGTCCAGACCTGGGCACCAAGAGCCAGGGTCCTCTGACCCCTCAAGTCCCAGCCCTGGGACACAGACGGCCTTGCCCAGGAATCCTCCCACCATGCTGGCCCCAGGAGGGACATCCCGGCGACCATCCTGACACTCTGGAAAGGAGGGCCAAGCTTCTAGGAAGGAACTCAAACGCCTTCATGGACCCACCAAGCAAGCAAGCTTCAAGACTGCTACTAGGCAAGTCTGTGAGGATGACAGCGAGGGGTGGGGACAGGGGAGTCTAAGGGGACAGCTGCTGCTCCGCCCGTAGAGCTGCCCCAAGGGAATGCTGCCCAGTGCTGCTGGAGCTTCCAACGGGTCGAAAGGCACTTTACGGCAAAAATTCTACGACAGGCCTCCCAACTTAAAACATGGACAGGAATTCAAATTCTTTTTTAAAAAAAAAAAAATACTGTGTAAGAAATAACAAGGGCTGATGAGGATATGGAGAAAAGGGGACCCTCGCACGCTGCTGGTGGGAATGTAACTGGGTGCAGCCTCCGTGGAAACCCATACAGAGGGGCCTCAAAAAATTAAGACCAGAGAACTACCATATGACCCAGCAATTCCACTTCTGGGGCTCTACCTGCCAAATTTGAAAACACTTAAAGACATCTGCACCCTGATGCTCACTGCAGCTATATTCGCATTGGCCCAGACATGGAAACGACCCAGGTGTCCTTAGATGAAGAATGGACAAGGAAGAGGTGGTACATGTTACAGCGGAATACTACTCAGCCGTTAAAAAGATGCATACTGCCACTGGGGACAGCCTGGATAGATCTTGAGAGCATCATGCTAAGTGAAGTAGTCCGATGGAAAAGAACAAGAACCACGTGATTCTTCTCATATGTGGGATATAAAACAGAAAGCAACAAATGAAAGCAAGCAAACTCATAGACACTGGACACCAGAAAGGAGTGGGTGACCAGAGGGGAAGAGGTGCGGGGCAGGAAGAGGGTCACGGGAGTGGAACACAGTGACGGAAGAAAAGCAGACTCTGGGTGGTGAGCACAAAGACAGATGGCATGTGATGGAACTACATTTTAACTTAGAGAACCCATGACAGCCCAGGGCTCCTGCCTCCCTAATCTTCCTGGTCTCTCCCTCCCCCAACCCCCAGCCCCCTCGTTCCCACTTCTCTGTGGTATCAAGCACCCGCAGGCCCAGCGCCTCACCTATTTTCACCTCCAGGTCCTCATTCAGGAAGAGGTTGCCCAGCTTGAGGTCCCGGTGGATGACTCGGTTCCGGTGCAGGTACTGGCAGCCCAGGACGATCTGCCGCAGGTAGTAGCGGGCCTCGGGCTCCGTCAGCGCTTTCCTGCGCTTGTGCAGCTCCAGGAGAGACTGGGTGGGCGGGGGAAGGGAGGAGGAACGGGTGGGTGCTGAGATCCAAGGGTGGGGCGCTACCATTAGGGGAAGGCAGCCCAGGACCCCCGGCCATTTCTTCTCCAGGACAGCGAGGACCTGCACCCTCCCCTAAGCCTAGCCACCACTGTCCATAGCACCCCTTTTCCTACTAGCTGCCTCCCAGCCTCTGACCTGGGGCGCCTATGTCAGTCCCATTGCATAAGCGCAGAGTCTCCAGTATCCCCTCCCCCGCCTCTCTGCGGCAGCAGACTCCTTTCCTGAACCTCGGAGTTCTGGCCCCACCAGTCTCCCTGCCCCAACTCCACTCCGGAGGCTCCAGGTCCGTAGCGCCCCTGCCCGGGCTCCACCCTTAACCGGTTACTCCCGGAGCCCTGGCGCCCATAGCCGCGGCTGCCCGCGCGTCGCCCCGCCCTCCGCCCCACACCCGGCGTGCGGGAGCACCTTCCCTAGCAGCGGCGTGACTCGGGCTCCACTTAGCCGGAACCCCTCCCCCAGCAGCTCCGAGCTCGGTCTGGGATCCCTCCACGCCTAGTTGGAGGGTCCCGGCACCTCCTCTCCAGCAGCTCCGAGCCCCCGGCGCACCTTCTCCAGCAGCTGCGGGGCAGGGCGCTCCAACCCCGGCCCCAGGCAGCTCCAATCCCCCAGCAGCGACACTCACTCTCCGCCGGCAGAGCTCCAACACCACGAACACGAAGTCGTTGTCCTCGAAAAAGCCGTGGAAGCCCACGACATGCTGGTGTGCGAGGCTGCGGTGAATGGCTATCTCCATGGACATCTTCTCCTTCTGGTGCGGCTTGAGCAGCAGCGACTTAGGCACGATCTTGCCCGCGAACACCTCCTTAGTGTCCGCGTCCGAGATCTCGAAGCACTTGGCAAAGCCCCCCTTCCCCAGAAAGCGGCCCCGCAGGTAGCGCCGCCGGCTGCGTGGGTCCACTAGGACCTCCGGGATCTCCTTTGCCGGCGGAGCGGCCGCCGAGGCCCCAGGAGCTGCAGCTCCGGGACCCCCGGCTTTCCCAGGCTCACCTGGTGCCCGCGCCAGCTTCCCTGCTGTTGCCGCGGCACTCATGTTCCCGGAATTGCTCAGCGGACCTAGCTGGGTCTGGGTAGAGGTTTGACACCGTTCGGCTCCTCCTCGAATTCAAACGCGGCGCCGGGAACGTTACAAAAGCCTGCGCGCCACTGATTGGCCGCGGGGATTTAAAATCCAAACCCGCCCGCCGCGCGGCACTCTGGGAGCGCTGCGCTCCGCAGCCGCCTTTAAACCTCACCCAGCCGGGGTGCGGGGGAGAGAAACAAACTTGATTGACAGGCACTCACGGACAGCGGACACGTGGGGGGCCAGGGAAAGCAGCCCGAGGAGAGCCGGAGTTCAGGGTTTCTCCCTTTCTCGCGTTCCGGAAAGCTCCGGCAGTTCCCGTGCACCGCCTCCGGGAAGCCTTTCCTAAGACCTTCCCCTTCCCCGCCCGCTTTACAGAATAAGCTCAGATTAGAGCGTATTAATAAGCCTGCCAAGAGCCGGCTTGGGAGAGCCTCAGCACCCGCCTCCCATGTCATCAGCTCTCTTCCCAGACGCCCCAAATAAACTAAAACCTAAGTAAAAACAAGACGCTTGCCAGGAACTTGCACCTTAGTGGCAAGGCTCCGACTCCCCTCTGGCTTATAGCTGCTGCTGGGCCCCTCGGCTTACAGAGCAACTCTATGCAAACTGGTCCAGGGACGCCAACATCTCCATCACCTGGGAGCTTGTTAGAAAGGCAAGGCTCCAGCCGCCCGCAGACCTCCCAGGCAGAAATCTGCTTTTCAACGCGCCTGTCCAAATGGGTCCTACACATACTGAAGTCTGAGAGGCACCAGATGCGGGCCCCCCACTGCACAAGCAAGTCTGGCCTGCTCACTGCTGTAGTTCCCGTGCCTAAAACACTGGACCTTCCGTGACTGGTCAGAGGGAGGGACCTCCGGCTGGCTGAGTACCTGGCAAACCTGTAGGCCGAGGCAAAATCCGGCCTGCAGGGGTGGTTTGGCCCCCCGCTTTTTAAAATTTGGATTCATTTACAGCACTTAAAAATCAAGAGAGCTCACATAAAAATTCAGATCTGTGGTTTTTCCTAAAAAACAATAACAAAACTAGCAGCTCTGGCAACTCTATGTCTACATACCTTCCCAGCTTGCCTGTTCCCAGCTGTCCCCCTTCTGCCCAGTCGCCTGTCTGGCCTCCACAGATCAGTGAGTAGCAGCCCTAGAATGGCAAAATGCCCAAGACAGAGGCCCTTTCTGTGTGCCCCTAGCGCCTGCAATGTCTGACAGAACCCAGCAAACATGGACCACACTAAGAATCTCTTTGCCTGCGTACCAATAATCTGAGGCAATGACATGCTTCCCGCCATGTCCCAAGCCCCCAGGGCAATGCCTGGTAAAAAAGGGTGACAAGTTTGCTAGAGAAAAAGGAGTTTTAAAAAAATTATTACTTTTTATCCTGTGGTGTATAGTTTTCTTTTTATTGAAGTTGATTCTATTTACAGAGAATACATATCACAATGGTACAGCTCCGTGAATTTTCAGAAACTGAACACACCCCATGTGAACAGCATCCAGACCGGGCAAGAGAGCACCGGGCAAGACACCCCAGCAGCACCCCTCGTGCATCGTGTTGGGGTCCCCAAGACCGCCCCCCCAGCTCAATGGTGCACTAGGATGCGCAGGTACTCTGCACACAGCCCGCTCTGGGCCAGCCAGGGTCCACTCCAGCAGAAGGCTGCGAAGCCAGATCAGCCAGGGGACAGGCACGCAGAGCAGAGTCCGGAGGACATCAGGGCCCAGCTTCCCAGCACCCTCGAACTGGACACGCTTCACTCCTCCAGCAGGGCGCTGTGGCCACGCGTGCGAGACAGCTCTCCTGGGGGGTGCTGGCGCACGCTGTTGGCACAAACAGCTTAGACAGAGTGAGCCGCTCCTCCCTTAGGGAATGACGCGAAGCCAAGTGCGAGCACCCCGTCGCCAGCCCGGGGCCACCCTTGCACACAGGCCTGGCCAAGCAGAGCAGTGTCAGGTCTGCTCTGTCAACACTTTTCGGCACAGTTCACCCCTCGGCCCTTGGCCCAGGCTGCTGGACACCAAAATCATCCATGGGCCCTGCACGAAAGGCGCGGCCACCCTGCAGACCTGCTCTCATTCACACTGTTAGGTGCCCTGGATTTAGCCAGCTAAAATGAAACGGCTCCGTTAACCACATGAGTCTCTCAGGGAGCCAGGCGGCCTCCCTGTTTCCATCTGGCTCGTTTGTGCCTGGCCCACGGCGCGGGTATAGCACGGCTGTGGCCAGTGAGTTCAAGCCGACCTGCAGCCTTCTGGTGTGGTGACGGGCACCTGCGGTCCCCCTGGAAGCAGGTTCACGACGTTAGGGCACCCTGGGCAGGACACATGCCAGTCAGGCCCGGCATAGCCGACCACGGGCCTCCCGCCCCAGCGCCTCCAGGCCAGCGTGAGAAGTTGGTCCAGTCCTCAGTGTCTGGGACTGCCAAGGCCCCCGAGGAGTCAGCACCAAAGTGCTGCTTGTCCGTGACACTGGTTCCGCCACCTCATGAGTGGGGACGGCACTTGCCGGTGTCCTGCCAGGAGAGTGCAGAGACTGCCCCCAGCCCGTGGTCACCGTCAGCGCTGGCAGGCGTGCCCGCAGCTCGGTCTGCACTCGTGCACACACCGTGCATGGAAAGGCGGCACTGGAGAGGCTTCAGGAAGTTTCCGTCACGAAGACACGAAGCGTCCAGGAATAGTTCTGGACAGCAAAGCCCAGAAATGCCGTCACCTGCCCAGGGCTTCCCGGGCGCCAGCTGTTTGCTTTTGCTCCACTGCTACCAAACCGGCATGCCCCGCCCACCAGCAATCCTCACTACCTTTTCAGCCCGCT